GGTGTCACTGCGTGGACGGCTACACAGGGCCCACATGCCGCCAGGGTGAGTCCGGCTCTTGGGGAGGGAGGACGGGGACCCTGTGCCCCAGCCCCACCCTGGCCCAGGCCCGCCCCTCCCCATGCAGTGCTGACCGGTCCTGGTGGTCTGGGGTTCCCATGGCTTCCGATGGACAAAATGTAACCTCGCAGCCCTGGACCTAGGAGCAGGGCTTGGCATGCTGGCAGCCCCAAGCAGCCCCAGATGTGGGCAAGGGCAGGCTCCTGCCACCTAGGGCCAGGCCTGGGGTGTGGTGCCAACCTTGCCAGTCTGGTGCTCAGGACATAATGTTGGCTGTGGCGGCACCTGGTGTTCAGACGTGGTACTGCACCAGAGGGCCAGACAGCCTTGAGCAGCCTTGACATTTGAGGGGGGCGAGGGGTGCTGCCTGCCTGAGGCCCCTTGGGAAGACGGACAGGCAGGGCCTCGCGGCCCCCTCCTTTGGATGGGACCTGGCTAGTTCTGGGGTGAAATTCCCCTCCCCCCATCCAGCCTGAAGTCCCGTCGCCCAACCCTCCATGCTGCCTGGACAGGGCAGGGCTGGGAACACTCATTGGGGGTGGGGAGGGGGAGAGGCCCCGCTGTTTGCCTAGCGGGGGCTCTGCAGGCGTGGGTTTCCCTCACCAGTGCCCACCCAGGGGTGGGGCACTAACATGAGGGGGTCTGTCTGCCTTCAGGTGGGCCCCCCCAGCTCCCTGGGATCCCGTCCCCAGCCCTGGGCCCAGGTAAGGGGCTGGTGGCGTTTGCTGCGTCGCTGGTGCCTCAGCAGACGGAGGCAGAGGAGGGAGGGTGTGGGCACAGGTGGAACTGAACCTCAGAGAATAGCCTGGTGGCGGCGGGGAGGAGAGGCTGAGCGGGGGAAGAGGGGGAGCGCGGCGTCCCCATCTGGCACTGACCCCCTTCCTCCTGTCCCTGCAGCGTCCTCACAGGCCGCCCCGCACAGACCAGCGCCCGGGCTCCGCCGCAGGGCA